AGTCCAACTGAAACAATAATAAAAGTCCAACTAAAATGCTGAAACAATAATAAAAGTCCAACTATAAAGGATGTCCTCATCAATATCCCTTGACAAGAAATATTTGACATCTTCTGAATCAGGTTTGTGTTATTTTGTTCCCTTAGTTGTTAAAAGCATGCATCCTTGCTATTTTTAAGTTCTGAAGTGCAGAGCATAAGTACTCTGCGCAAAAGTTTAATGTGCAGCCAAGCACAGAAACACATGGCTACTTTTGAGCTTTTTTGATTGCATCTGAACCTCTTGCTCTGTTTTAGATTTTGATCAACGTTTTGGTGATATTACGTGATGCTTGATCATTTCAGTTGAAATTACCAAGTTCTGCTTTTTGTCAATTATGATGTCCTGTGGAGAATTTTCATTCAGGATATAAAATGCGCTTCAAATCAATGAAGCCTTGCTTTGTGCTTGAGGCCAAAAAGTCCTTGTTGTGTCCATGCTTTTAGCACATCTGGTCATGGCGAAGCTAGGACTCAAAATCAGTGGGCACACATAATTTAACTAAAATTTTATTTCGAACATGAAATACACTAATATTAATAATAAAAATGCCATATAATAAAAATTATATCTCAAATTTCAGTGGGGGACAATGACCTCACGGCCCACACCTCATTCAGCGACTGCATCTATTAACTATGTTCCCCTTGGGTTTTAACTTCTTATCTACTGTTTATGTTGCTTTTGCATATGTTTAGTTGCTGTGGAAATGCATACTTGAATCCATTAGTTAACAGTACTCTTCTTTGTACTGCTATCTTGGCTTATTGTCTTATTTGACTACTGTGGAACTCTCATCAGGAAGCCTTGCCGGGTAGATTCTGGATTCCTTTCACAAACACTACCAATTTGAATCAGGTGGAGCCATTCACAGATTCTTGAATGTTTATTCTTACTCTGTGCTTGTTTCCTTCATGATGTGATTCTACTACTTATTTATGATTTTTTCTGGCTTTTTATAGAATGCCAAAATAAGTCCAAGAAAGATAGTTCGAGCTATGACATACTCTGCAAGATATTTGGTTGAATCTTGGATTTATCAAAGGGCATATATGATTTGAAATTTTTGTTTGGTCTCGAACATCCAGAGGTATCTTCTGTAACTTTTTTAACTTGGTTTAATTACGTTAATGTTAATGCAAATGTATTATTCCCTACGAACCTTTAGGCACTCCCACTGAGGTGGTGCCCACTGAGGTAGTGTGTCTGCATCATCTGACACACTTCAATAGGAAAGTATTCTTTAGCTATAAAACTCACTCACCCTTAAAAAATTTCCTCCTGTTACTTTATTTCCACACCATCTGCATCAGCAGTGAGGGTCTACTTTCCTAGTCTTCTTCCCTTATTACTTACTCTCTCTTCTGCATGTCAGGCATCGTTCAGGTAAAACTGAAAAAGTGAAATGAAGATACCAGAACTCTGAGGCCCTACCTACAATGAAGTAGTTTGTGATTTGGATTTTCGTCCACTGTTAAACACCTAAAGAACCACTTACATCGATTTTCCTGTAAAAAGAGATTTCAACAATAGTAGTAAAAAGAGGGAAACGTCTAGATCTCACCCTCTCACCATCCAAGGGATGTTTTGAATACTATGGAAGAGCCAGCTAAAAATTAAGGCCTGTAGAAGTGTAGAACTTGCTGCTAGATCGGACTTCATGTAATAACCAAATTTGGAAATATTTTACTTCTCAATCTTCTAACAAAGTCCTGAAGAGAATCTACCTTTTCGTTTCTCCATCTCTTCGTCTCTGTATTATTTTCCTNTTTACTTCTCAATCTTCTAACAAAGTCCTGAAGAGAATCTACCTTTTCGTTTCTCCATCTCTTCGTCTCTGTATTATTTTCCTTTCACGGTTGACAGCTGTCTGCCTTCTTTAGCTTATTGAGAAGCCTGCATAAGTCATAACCACCTTTTTTTTCGAAAAAGATGATTGGGCTTAACTGCATCTTCTTTTCATTGAAAATCTTTATAACCATTTTCAAAGCTAATTTTGATTAAAATGTTCTTCTCAAGTTGTATATATTATTTTAGGACTAATAAAGGCGTGATATTATATGTTACAATGGACATTCCATTTGATTTTGCTCAGGTTGAGGTTCGATGTTCAGTGATCTCAAGTTTGGATGTCGATGGCATAATGAGGGAGAAAGCTGCTGGCTCGAAGGTAGGTAATGCCTGCTTTATTCTTCATAGTTTGTAGGTTAACATGACATGTTTCTTATATTAGAAGCAAATGTAATGTTTTTTTTTTTTAAATATGCAGTACTGTGCCATTTCTTTGATTCTGGTTTCCATCTCTGTACTGTTCTTGTCAGGTCCTTTTTTTCTCTACTTTTTGGTACATTTCTCATGTTGCAGTTAAGTTGATATGTGGCTCTGACATAATGTCACTTGCCGGTAGTTCTCGTATTAATAAGCTGACTGGCAAAATAAAAGGAAAAGTAAATTCTCTGTTTTCTGGCAAAACCTTTTGTTTCTTGTATGTTGCTCTTATATTCAATGACTATGGGATTTTTGCCTCCCAATAGATGTTGACAATTTGTTTGTTACAGATCTTTTACCATAGCCTGAATGTTGTCGTGGTTGTGTCATTTCTAGTGTGGTTTTAATGAAGTATGATGTTACTAATGCATCTACTGGAAATCTGAAATATTTCATATTCCCCAAGAACTAAATATTTATCGGATCTTTTGATGGTCCAAGATATTTGATAAGTATATTTTATACACTTATTCAGGACTCTAAAATGACGATATTTGATAGTCTTCTGACAAAATACATTCAAAATTGTTGTGTTTTACGTCTACTAGGTGAAACTCTACGAATGAAAAGGAAGTGAAGGAAAGAAGCAAAAATTGACAAGAAATGACAAAATCTAAAGTACGTGGACTAAATTGGCCATTGGATGAAAATTGAGGAATTGGAAATAAAACCACCATAATGGGCTTGGAATTTAATTGGAAGTGGACTCCTACTTGCAGAAGTAAAGTGGATATATATATATCTCATGCAAGTCGGCAACTGGGAGTTCGGGTGTTAATCAAATTGGGTTGCTGCTAGGTTAAAGATATATACAAAAAGGCGTAGAAATTAAGGAGGGCGGTCTGCTGCGAAAATCGATTATAAATACACTCAAGAAATCGGCAGCTTTGGGGAGCAAACATTGTATATTTATTCTGATAGAAAACCAAAGCAAGAGGGAAGAAAAAGAAATTGGCAGCTGCTGAATTTATATATTTATACTTAGAAAAGGCTGCCTTAGAGAGGAGAGAATTGAGTTGAAATATAATATATATATCTCACGCAAATTGGCGGTTGTTGGAAGAGGCAGAAAGCCGAAGATACACGGCCTATCTACTGCTGGAATTAATATAAATGCAAAGGAACGGAGGTAGATATACGCAGATAGAGACAAGTAATTACTGGAAGTAGACGTCACATGCAGAAACATCGAAGAAGAAAAAATGGCAGAATCATTGTGATAAAAATTAATTACGTTCCGTCAAAAATTTTGGTAATGCCCTTCCACTTTTATTTGTTCATTAATTTCAACATCATGTTAGGCTAATTCCTTTTTTTCTATTGGATGAGATGAACCCTATTTGTTATTTATTTTAAATTCAAGACAAGTAATTTAGTTTAATTCTTGTGTTTCTTGATTAATTCTACATTTCCATTGCACTATTGAATTGTTTAGCCATCAATTGAATATTTAGTTGCTTGTTGTAGTGTAGGAATACTCACAATGAGTTTAGAACGCGGCATAATTAACATGTATAGTTAGAATTAGGAATAATATTTATCATACATGCAATCCTATTGATAACTTGAACTAAATGCGTGATTTTCATATGAATTCGGACTAGGAATAGGATCGCGTCGTGTTAATCATAGGTTCGTGTATCTTGGAAAAGAGCATTGAATAATTTAGTGTTATCAATTGTTAAATACACTTAAATAAAGTTAGATTACGAATCAAGAATTGAAATAAATAGCAATATGCGGAGTCGAAATCCAATACAGTCCTCCATAATTTGACAAAACCCCTAATTTTTATTGTTTTCTTATATTAGTTTAGTTTAAATCAAATCAAAATATTTACTTTGTTTTCATAATTCGAATTTCATGCGAAACTAGTAAACTCAAATTGAATTTATTTCCTGTGGGACGATAACTCTTAACTCACTTATTATTATTTGTCAGATCTCGTATGCTTGCGGGTATCACATAAACAAGTTTTTGACGCCGTTTTCAGGGAATAAAGTTTTAGTTTGAGTTTATTAGTTTACATTGGATTTGAATTTTTCTTTTTGTTTTATTTTTCTTTTTGTTCTTCTAGGCTTTAATTGAAATACCTGATTTCTTCTTAGTTTGAGTTTATTAGTTTACAAGGGGGGTGTGAAAATATGGATGATGTCACAACCTCCTGGGAGCATCGTATCTAGGAATGACATGGTACAAAAATTTATCATGAAATTCTTCCCACCATCTCGAGTCCACAAAATCAGAAATGAAGTGTATCTTTTTAGACAGAAGGACCATGAGACATCCAGAAGCATGGGACAGGTTCAAAAGTGTGTTTAGGATATGTCCAAATCTTGATGTTCCTAAACTGGCACAAATATATCTATTGTTTAATGGACTGCGCGCTGAATTTCGTAATATAGTTGATGCTTCTACGGGCGGATCAATTTTGACTATGGAGGTGGATGATGCACATTACATTATTTATTTGAAAGGATTGTTGAGAATCAGGCCAATTGGCTAACAGATAGGGAAGCTCCGAGAAAAGCAACTGGATTGCATAATGTGGACGCAATGACAGCATTGGCAGCGCAGATGGAAGCAATAACGAAGAAGCTCGACACTTTAACTCAATCTGTACACATGGTACAACATCCAGCTCCTGTATGCGTAGGTTGTGGGGCAGATCACATCACTTCAAGCTGCCCTTTGGCTTCTACTGTCAGTCAGTAGAGGTTAGTTATGCGTAGAACTATCAGAGACAAAATGGATCTTACCCATAAAACTACCATTCGGGTGAACAAGCATCCCAACTATTTGTGGGTGGATAATCCAGATCAAGTAAATCAGATGCAGGGCAATCCACCAATAATTCAGCAACAGCAAGGTAAGAGGCAACCCTTGGAAGATTTACTGGTTACGTACATCACCAAGACTGAAACAGTAATGCAGAATCAACAAGCTTCCATATATAATCTAGAAAACCAGGTGGGACAGATAGCAGTTGCATTAGCCAATAGACCACAGGGTACCTTGCCGAGTGACACAGAGAAGAACCCATGGGAGCAGGTATTAGTAGCTGAGGCGGTAAATTATGCAACTATTGAGCTCCCATCTACCACATCCACCACCCATGTCAAAGCTTATGTGCCACCCATTCCATTTTCTCAAAGACTTCAACGCTAGCCAACAACAGAGTAGGTTCAGGCCATCACTACTAGGAGTGGTGTTCAATTGCCAGAAATCACTGTAAAGAGGAAGGAGACAGAGAGAACTCAAATGCCTACTAAGGATAAAGAACCGATGGAGCAATCTGAAGAAGCAATAGAAAAGGACCAATAGACAGTTTTAGATAATCCACAGCTTAAGGCAAATGTTACTGGCACTTCACTGACACCTCTGGTCCCTTTTCCTCAAATGTTACAGAAGACCAAATTGGAGAAGCAAGCTATGAAATTCCTGGAAATCCTCAAAAAGTTACATGTCAATATCCCATTCATTGACGCTATCCTTCAAATCCTAAACTATTCTAAGTTTTTGAAGGAGATGCTGACTAAAAAGAGGAAGATGCCCAAGTATGAAACAATAACACTATCTGAAGAGTGTAGTGCGATCATCCAGCATAGGATCCCTCCCAAACTTAAAGATCCAGGGAGTTTCACTCTACCTTGCTCCATAGGAAACTTACAAGGTATTAATTGTTTAATTGATTCAGGAGCAAGTATTAACTTAATTCTTTTGCCTCTTTACAAGAAATTGGGATTGGGAGATCCCAAGGCGGCTTCTATCATCCTTTAGCTGGCGGACCGAACATTGAAACATCCCTATAGAATAGTCGAGGACATTCTCATCAAGACGGGAGAATTTATTTTTCCAGCTGATTTTATCATTCTAGACATAGAAGAGGCATCCCAAATTTCAATAATACTAGGAAGGTCATTCTTGTCAACAAGTCGAGCATTACTTGATTTTGATACAAATGAGATAGTCCTGAGGGTGGAGGATAAACAGCAAAGCTTCACCATGGAGAATCCAATCAAGCAACCATCATATTTTGAAGACTGCCAACGAGTTGATCACTGGGAGAGTTACAAAGGCTGGCCAGATGTAGGTGGAATTGTTGGTAGGGATAACCATGGAAACTTGATCATGTGGAGGGTGAAGGATGAAAGAAAGAAGTGCAACTAGTGCTTAAAATGCAGAACTGAAAATTCACTTTTCAAGCCACCTTGAAGAGCCTAGAAACAACAAAGTCTAGCTAAAGACTATAAATTAAGCGCTTGTTGGGGAGCAACCTAATATCTCTATCCATTTTATTTTTATTTTTATTTTATTTTCATTTTTTAAATTTAGAATAGCCTAAGATAATTTATATTAATTTTTATTTTAGGGACTCATCATCCATACCACGTTTTCTCTTAGGTCTTTCAGATTTAGTTGGTTTATTAGATGTTTGGGCTAAGTAACACATGTTTAAGGTTATTTGATCTCTAATGTTTGATTTAACTGCCATATGTAGGAACATGATGTCGCGTAACACTCAAATCAACATAGACTAAGGGGAAAACATGATGAAGGAGAATGTCTAATAGTTGTCCAAAGTGTCTTCTACGTTCAACAGGAAAATCCGGGGAGTACCTTCTTTCTTTTCTTCCATCCCCTTGTATTCTTAATTATATTTTAAGACATTGAGGACAATGTCAGGTTTAATTTTGAGGGTAGGAAAAACTTTTGAGTTTTTTCGTATATTTTTGTGTTTTCTTAAAAAAAAAAAAAGGTTAAAATTTTTTATTTTTGTGTGCTTATAAAAAAAAAATATTTTTTTTATTATTTTGTTTGTGTACTTGTGTGAGTTAGACAATTTGGTTGACTATGATGATTAAATTTGAGATTTGGTATCGATTTATGAATTGTGGATAAGATGCATGCTAGACTAATTGAAACTCAACTTTGCAAAACTTGATATTATACGTGCACTAGAATTGAGTTTGACATTGTGATGAAATGAGTTGATTCATATGCTTGATAGGTTGATTTAATCGGACATAGACGCTTTACCCATACCATACAAATTAATTTTTCTTAGACCAAATTTAGCACGGTTTAGGGATTATTTTGCTGTTGTAGGAAGATACGGATGTGGACAGGGATTCCATGCGTGAAAACTTATGTGTGGATTGTCTTAGATTAACAAGATAAAATTGGGTGAAGTCTTGAGTTGGAAGTCGGTTTACTTGAGTAGGTGTGTGATAAGGGACATTGCACTAATCAAGGCATATATTTTGAAATTTAAAACTTCTCTCTAAAACTTTTATGACTCGAGTAATTAAGCCTGTAAGGGTATCTTAAAACCCGATGCCCTAAAGTCGTCTGACTTGGGAGTCATCGGCCTAAAACTCGTTACAGGGGTCATTTAGAAAGTAATTAGAGATGAAGTTGTACTTGAAAAAAAAATTTATTCGCTTTGAAGCCTTTTTGACTCGGGTTATTAAGCCTGTAAGGATATCTTAAAATCTGGTGCCCTAAAGTCGTCTGACTTAGGAGTCATCGGCCTAAAGCCTGCTACAGGAGTCATCTAGAAAGCTTAATGGAGAGAATAAAAAAAACTCTTAAAAATAAGAAAAAGCAAGTGCATGGAAAAAGCGAAAGCACTAAATACCTTGTTAAGTCCTAACACTTATTCGAGAAAATTTAACTTTCGATTGAAGATAATTAGTCTAGTTGAGTCTTGGCGGTCGAAGCAATCAAATTAATTGAGAATCCTTGTTCATTGATGTATTGACTTGCAACCAGTTATGTCCACCTGAACTAGAGAGGGTAAGGATACTAATGAAAAGTTCAATCTTAGATCACACGCTGGGAAAATAGTGGAAAAAAATATAATAAGTTTGGGGGTGTGTGAATCTTACGAGAGATGAAATGATATATTTGACCATAGAGGGTCGGAAATTGAAGCAACTTGTGAATTCATTAATGTCTACTTAATTTTTCACACACACACACACGTCAGTTTTGTATTGGAAGAGTGAATGCTGGTTTGGTATTGTGACTTTGAAGCGATTTGTAGATTTAATACGATGATCTCAAATCATGAGGTAAAAAAGCTAGACTGTCGAACCAAATATTTTTGCATGCTTATTTGTTATTATTTAGGTTATAATTTTGTTTGAAGACAAACAAATATTTAAGTTTGGGGGTGTTTGATAAGTGTATTTTATACACTTATTCGAGGCTCTAAAATAACGATATTTGATAGTCTTCTGATAAAATACATTCTAAATTGTTGTGTTTTACGTTTAATAGGTGAAACTTTACGAATGAAAAGTAAGTGAAGGAAAGAAGCAAAAATTGACGAGAAATGACAAAATCTAAAGTACGTGGACTAAATTAGCCATTGGATGAAAATTGAGGAATTGGAAATAAAACCACCATAATGGGCTTGGAATTTAATTGGAAATGGACTCCTACTTGCAGAAGTAAAGTGGATTTATATATATCTCATGCAAGTCGGCAGCTTGGGAGTTCGGGTATTAATCAAATTGGACTGCTGCTAGGTTAAAGATATATACAAAAAGGCGCAGAAATTAAGGAGGGCGGTCTGCTGCGAAAATCAATTATAAATACACTCAAGAAGTAGGTAGCTTTGGAGGAGCTTTGGGGAGCCAACATTGAATATTTATTCTGACAGAAAACCAAAGCAAGAGGGAAGAAAAAGAAATTAGCAGCTGCTGAATTTATATATTTATACTTAGAAAAGGCTGCCTTAGAGAGGAGAGAATTGAGCTGAAATATAATTTATATATCTCACGCAAATTGGCGGTTGTTGGAAGAGGCAGAAAGCCGCCTATCCACAGCTGGAATTAATATAAATGCAAAGGAACGGAGATAGATATACGCAGATAGAGACAAGTAATCATTGGAAGGAGACGACACATGCAGAAACATCGAAGAAGAAAAAACGGCAGAATCATTGTGATAAAAATTAATTACGTTCCGTCAAAAATTTTGGTAATGCCCTTCCACTTTTATTTGTTCATTAATTTCAGCATCATGTTAGATTAATTCCTTTTTTGTATTGGATGAGATGAACCCTATTTGTTATTTATTTTAAATTCAAGACAAGTAATTTAGTTTAATTCTTGTGTTTCTTGATTAATTCTGCATTTCCATTACACTATTGAATTGTTTGGCCATCAATTGAATAGTTAGTTGCTTGTTGTAGTGTAAGAATACTCACAATAAGTTTAAAACGCGGCAAAATTAACATGTATAGTTAGGATTAGGAATAATATCTATCATACATGCAACCCTATTGATAACTTGAACTAAATACGTGATTTTCATATGAATTCGGACTAAGAATAGGATCGGGTCGTGTTAATCATGGGTTCGTTTGTCTTGGAAAAGAGCATTGAATAATTTAGTGTTATCGATTGTGAAGTACATGTGAATGGAATTAGATTACGAATCAAGAATTGAAATAAATAGCAATAGGCGAAATCGAAATCCAATACAATCCTCCATAATTTGACAAAACCCCAAATTTTTATTGCTTTCTTATATTAATTTAGTTTAAATCAAATCAAAATATTCATTTTGTTTTCATAATTCAAATTTCATGCGAAACTAGTAAACTTAAATTGAATTTATTTCCTGTGGGACGATAACTTTTAATTCACTTATTATTACTTGTCAACAATCTCGTACACTTGCGCGTATCACACGAACAATATTTAATAAATAATTGAGATTTAATGCCTTGTGCATTGTTGTGCTACTTTAAACTTTCTTGGTAGCTCTTTATTCTGATTTGTTTGCAATTCCTTTTGCCTTATTTGTGCTTGTATCCACCAGTTTTGCTGCGCCTGACATTATTTCTACAAGTGGTGTTTAAGTTGGCCAAGTTTGCTTCTTCACACTCACTTTTTTACTACAATACTGAGTGTTAATGTTAACCTTTTGTTGACACCTGGTCATCTTATATTCTTTTGTATCTAAATTTCTGAAGTAGTTTCTCTATTTCCAGAAATTTGTCGCCACTCAAGATCCAATACTGCGGCAGCTTTATGACGATGGCCTAAATGTTATCCTTGCTATTCTGAATATAAAGAAATTGTCAGAAATTATAAGTTCTTCACTTGTTATTGAAGCACTCCAACATGTGCTTCAGAGGTTTAGTGAGATCTTATTGTCAAGTGAGTATGCTGTTGATCTCTTGCATTCTAACTTTGGGTCTATACTTTGCTCCAAACTGAATTTTTAAGAGCTTTTGTTAGTATTCAAATGCCCTAGAGTTTAAACAGGTAATAATTTCCAGTAATTGCTATTGACAATCAACTTTAGATGATTTCAATCTAGTTAAGCTATAAAAACTATCAACTTATGCAATTAAAATTCCATGGAATTCAGCAATCATATATTCTAATTTATCAGTAGAATATGTGAGTTTTATGTTTCCTGCAATCTTGCTTACTCTGCATGTTGGATACGGTGCCACATCTTATATTGGATTACATTGGCTGCAAAGGAAGTCTGCTATAGCTGAATGTCATACATTACTTCATACCAGCTTAAAGAAGTCATAAATGTTGCGAAGTCCCAACATTTTTAATGACCCAGCATATAAACTGGGCTCATGCAATTTTTGGCTTGGAACATTAAATATTTACCGCATGCAAAAGGATCAAGTAAATTTGAGTTGGAACTACTATAATGGAAAGATTGCCTATCAAGGGACTCCTGACATGTATCATGGCTCTGTAAAAATACTTGAATATTAGTCATAAGATAATCCAATCACGAGAAAAGTACAAGGAATGTTATTGTAGAGAAAGACTGCAACAGACTGGTTCTAATTCACCAATACATGAACTCTGGATGCCGTCATTAAGAATTTACCAATCCTTTGCCATTTAAATGCGTGACATGGGGGAATGAAAACCATTTAAATGCATTACTTATTCCTTCAAATCCTATCATCATCACACATGTATTGAAGCTATCATCATCTGCTGCTCCTTGCAGGTTCTTTAAATTACACTTCTCTACCTTGTGATACTGCTCTATTGTGCCTGCAACAACTGATTATGAGTTTTAAAGATCTTGAAGAATATGCATCGAACATAGCAATGTCAATTTTCCCATTAATTCTAATTCTACCCAAGGTTCCATTATTTTGAACTACTTTATGTTATTTTCTCTTCAACTGGAAGTTGGGGATATTCTTATTCATCATACTTGCTTGACTTTCTGTTTTATATGTTCTTTTGCATAATCAGACGTGGAGATTGAATCTGAAGGCACTGGAATTAGCTAAGGAGTTAAAATGGTCTCTTTATGGGAATCTTGTCAATCTTTCTGGTCGAGAGAAGGTAAGTTGATTTTCCATAGGCAAGCTTATATGTAATATCCCTTGCATTTGTATCCATAGCTTTGGAAATGTTGATTTCAAATTTTAATAATGAAATGTCCAATCCCTTGGATAGAGTTTTTCATGTCTCCGACCTAAAATCTAGCATCTTCCCTGGACAATCTTTTTTCTGGCTATCAATTTTGATTTCGATTTCGATTTCGATTTCGTTTTCGTTTCTTTTCTTTTCTTTGTTATTATTATTATTATTTTTATGGCCCATCTAGTTTTTCTGAAACTAACAAATCCTGATTTGTGACTCATACTGTTGAAGTTGGAGATATGCACTGTTCATATGCTTCTTGCCTCTCTTTTCTTCAGTTTATTGTACAAAACTTACTTTACCACGTGTTAATTGCAATGAACTGTCAACCACTTACATCTTGGTGAAAATAAGCCCTTGTTTGAGTCCCATTTTTTCTGTTTTCTTTCTTTTTTTTTTTTTTAAAAGAAGCATTTTTGAATAGTGTTTGGACCATATTTCAATCCCACATTCTTCAATAAAATAATATTACACGTAAATCCAAAACTTTTTCTTATTTTTTAATCACATATTTCCTATCAATACACTATTCAAAAATGCATTTCTTTGCCAAAAATGGGGTTCAAACAAGGGCCAAGTGTTTCTAATCAAATCAGTCATTAGTAACATAGTAGACCTATCTGGTGTCAGTGAGGAGTTTTTAATGCATGGTTCCGTAAAGTAGTGACTTGCTGTTAGGTGTACCTGATCAGCTTAACATAATATGTATATGACAGCCGTATCCTTAAATTTGCATAGAAGGTGCTATTCTGTATGGAAAAGAGTAATTTTAGAAAAAAGGATATTGAGAAGACCTTGGTGCTCTAAGGTAATTTTTCTGTTAAAAATAAGTTACGCTTTAAGCTGGGGAAACACAAATAGTGCTGTTGGTCCAAAATCAATAATCTCTAGTGAGTTATTATGGTGGAAACTTGTGCAGATTGCAAAAAAGAATCTGTTTGAGTAGGGAAGGAAAAAAAAAGAAGAAGAAAGATTGCCAAGTCTTATCATCGCTAAAAGAGATGGATCACGTTAATTTGTCTGTTTCACAGCATCCAGGTCCTATTTTTGTAGGAATTCTCATTAGAGTCTTGCATTGCAATCCATTGTAGAATCTCTTCTCCAGAGTTATGGTTGCAAAGATCAAGGTAGCTCTAAAAAAAAAATGTTGGTAAGATTGCATAACTAAATGATATATTTGTTGAGATTTGAAAGTGTTTCAGAAAAGTATTGTTTTACAATTGACAAACTTTTTTACCAAGAAGATGCCAGAATGGATACCTAGTATATTAGCATTCGTTTTTATTATATGGGTGATATTCAGGATTGCCTAACTATCATCGCATTAAATCAGTGAGACTGAGTTTCACAGTGATGCTTTGACAGAGAGATTTAGAGAACTACTCAGAGTCTATTGAGTTTTCAATTACCATTTTTTGTTTTGATCATGGAAGATCTGAAGGTAAGTGAAATGATGTCTTTGTAGATAATATTTTCTCAATATATGAGCCTAGTGAAGTTGCTAAGTTGTAGTTCGGAATTTAGTATTTAGAAATAAAATAATCTAAGATTTTTAAGAGTGTCTTCAAGGTGTAATTTGAGTCGATACCAGAGTATTTGAAAAGAGGTAGAAACGATTGTGGGTCACATCTAAAAGTGAGCATTTTGAAATTCAGGTGCAACTATTCATACAGAAGGGATCTTAGAGATGATTGCTCTTGTGATTGAAATAAGTGGAAAAGCGGCTCTGCAATTTTTGTGATATTAGATATGACATCTAGATTAATCGAGTGTAGTTGAGATGACTACGTTGAGGTGCGAAAAAAGGGGGAGAGAGAGAATTGACCATATTTGTGAGGCAGCTCACATGGAAGATAAATTACCTGAGAATCAGATGAGCTTCTTTAGTGAATGCCCTTGGATGCAATTGTCAATAAACTGATGGAACCTACATTAATTGTAATCCTGGAGGAAAATGTTTCACATGGTACTGAAAATGATTAGAGCGTTAGTGGTTCAACTTTGGAGACGACTCTCAAAAGAGTGGAGTGGAAGAAGAGGATCCCTCCGACAGACCCCAAATGGGCATGGGATAAGTCTTTGTTGAGTTGAGATAAAATAATCTGACCACTTGCCTTTTGTATTTGTTTTCAAAATTTTCCGTAAGTATTTGTCTCACGGAATACAGAGGATTACCCATGTGTGCATGTTTGGGTTATTTTGGATTGGTTGCCACAACTGCATGTAGTAATATCTATGTATGCATGTTTACATTTACTTTGGATTGCTTGCAACAACTGCATGCATTAGGCTTCTTATAAACTGGCTTTGTTTGGGCTTGTGCGTGTACATAAATATGTATGTTTGCGTCCTATTGGCATGAATGTATTCATGTGTTTGTGTTCAGAAATCTACTTTTGAAACATACTGGTATTACACA